AGCAAGAGGCATATACAGATGCGCAGCTCAATACAGCCAATAAGAACATACCTTCTCTAAATCCTGTCAATTTATCGCTGGGTTTTCGAAGTAAACACGAAAGTAGTACAAGAAAATTATCATATACGGACAAAAACATTTTCAACACAGACAGTTCATCATTCAATGGCACCGAAAGTATAAAACGTAAAGGATTTTTTTTCGATTCTGATAAAGAAGTGACAAAATCTCTACAAGATCCCGACTTGAATAATTCACCAGAAAACTATGTTGTAACGCCACATCGAAAAAGAAGACCGGGCTTCCATCATTCCTCCAGTCATAATCAACCGTTCGCTTCATCATATCAGCATACATTAATCGAGGAGTTACGTTCCGCGAAAACAGCAGCTTCACCCATATCATCGTACATGTCCGATCGCAAATTGTTATCCCCACTGGAGGAAGGTCTCTTAGGTAGCTCCGAAGTGCTTCCGAAAAATCGTAAATCCATTGAAAATCAAAGGCCCAGACCGCAAAGTCCCGACGCTGCACTACACATCTCACCACAGTTTGCTTACCAATGGCAATCGGCGCAAAACCCTGCCATCTCCACCTTCTCAAATCTGCAATCTGGTCTCAATAGCATACCACAGATAGGTGGCGTAGGTGGTGGTGGTGGCAGTGGTGGAGGTGGTGGCGGCGTTGGCAGTAGTGCTGTCGAGGCAGGCAGTCGTGATACACCAGGAAGTGTTCGTGATCCCCCTTCAAACAATTCGAATATATGTGGCACGCACAATACGGCACGTGAATATCGTTGCGAATACTGTGGCAAACAATTTGGTATGTCGTGGAATTTGAAAACGCATTTAAGAGTACATACGGGTGAGAAGCCGTTCGCTTGTCGCTTGTGCGTTGCTATGTTCAAACAAAAGGCCCATCTATTGAAACATTTGTGTTCGGTTCATCGAAATGTTATAACGACGACAAATGGTGCTGAAACCGAAAATCGATTCAGTTGCTGTTTTTGTTCAATGTATTTCGAATCAGTACAAGAGTTAGTGAGGCATTTATCGGGACACCATAATAATTTGCTGCTAACAAAAAATCTACGCGAATAAAATACAATCAAAAAAGGAAAAAATTAAAAAAAAAAATAATAAAAAAAAAATAAAAAAGAACGCAAGCAAAGCTTAAATTATTTTTAATAAATCTACATGCATACATAACTACATGAAAACATACTTATTACATAAAAAACACACGCACACACACACAAACATATACATACACACGCATACACATACGCATACTTACAAAAGTATACATAATTGTACTTTGAAGACGGAAAGTGACCTGAATTTTTACTTTGTTTGCAGTCAGAACCTGCAATATTTTTTATATAATTCCAATTCTCTTTTATATACGTTTTTTTCATCACAATGAGTATTTGTAAATTTTCATTCAACTTTATAAATAATAAAATAAATATTGATGTGAAAACGTCTTGTAAATATATGCTCGTTTCATTGCCAAGGGATAAGGTGAAAAAAAACAACAACAAGAAAATTCCTGAGGAATACCTTGTGTTCTTTTGGGCATTTTTGAGGAGATCCAAATATGTGAAATATGAGATCAAAACATAACGGCAACTTAAGTAACTTCATGGTGCTATATATCGAATATCAGCTGATCGATCACAATTTTCTTATGTATAGTACTTTGCAACGCGTTTTGACGCTAAATTGAGAAAGTTAAATTCTCAAAAAATAATCGTTATTTTAATATTTTCTGGTGTGAAGTTCCTTATTTGGTAGACTTCTATTTTTCGATCATATTTAACAGTTATGTTTTGATTGTTGTTTTTTCAGTTTTACGCCGACTCCGAACGGGGATTGTATTTTTATGAGCAGCTGTTTTTCATGGCTGAAATACACTCGGAGGGTTGCCATTGCCTGCCGAGGTATATTCTTTTCATGTTTTCCGTTGTATGCTTGTATATGTAACCAAGTTTTCGATCAGCTGTACTTAAAACTTTCAAGTTTTTGCTGGTTTTGCGTACGCGTACTTTTGCGAGTTTTCTGCTAGAAGAATACTCGAATACACCTAATGTTGCTATGTTCGACATTTTGTTTTATGGAAAAAAATAATGGCACCGCCGGCAAAAAAAGAAATATCAGAAATGAACGCAAATTCTTAGCTTAGTGAAACTTGCACTCTATTACTGGATCTTGATGGCCTACAAAACTGTATACTTAGAAGTGAAAAGTAGTGAATAAAAACTTTATGAAAACTTTTTAAATTTCTCTAAAAAATTAAAAAAAAAAATTTAGGTAGAAAAAAAGTATTTTTTCGTATTTTGACGAAAAAGCAATATCCATTTTTGGAATAAAAAAAAGTGTTATACTACTTCGAAAAAAAATGTAGATAAGAGCGATAGTTATACATTACAAACTTAACTTAAAAAATTAATTAAATCGAACATGGTCAAGTAAAGTGAAAACTTTGCACCTAAATTCAATTTTAGTTAGGTAAAGTAAGTTAATTTTTACTCCTATATTTGTTGTGTTTTATAAATAAATGTTGCTGCTCAACTTTAGTCCGAGGCTCGTAGTACAATGTATAAAAATCGGTAAAATTAGTAAATTGCCTAATTAAAGTTTTATCGTCTTTCGTTTGTTACTATTGTAAAATTTCATTTATCTTAAATATTCAACGAAATTTCATTAACTAGATAGGCGGAAACCCTATTTAAAAAATTTTCGGGCCTTAAGTGTTCCTTTTCATTTCCTTTTTTTCTATTTTCTATTCCAATTATAGCTCAAACATCCCAATATAATTCCTAAACTTTGTGCAAAACTCGGGAAAATTCAGCAAATTTTCATCAAAATTTTCAACTTTTTAATCAGATTTTTTAGAATTTTTTTGAGTACACAGTTTCTAGTAAAAAAAATGCAAGTTCAGAGTTAGTCAAAAATCGCGTTGATTTTTGAGAATTTTTTTTTTGTTGAAGGTGTTTTGCATTTTTCCCATATAAAGTATTTTAGAAAAATTTTTTTGTATGGAAGAGACTGCGTGAAAAAATTGTCAAAAATCAACGGTAATTCCTAGCTACTTAAAACTTGCACTTAATAAAATTGATTGGGCTACAAATCTGCATACTCTAAAAAATTCAAAAATCTGATTAAAAAGTTCAAAATTTTCATGAAAATTTGCTGAATTTTCGCGAATTTTGCACAAAGTTAAGGAATTATATTTATATGTTTTTTGTTTTTGAATGAATCATATTTTTATACCAAATTGGCGGAAAATGTTAGAATACAAATTGTTGCATATATTGTAAAAAATTTGCTGTGCCAATACTTTGCTCCGACAGTGTAGAAAAAGTCCGAAGGCTTTAAACTTTAACTTAATTAAAATGTTCGAAATGAATGGCACAATTGGAAGGCTTGCAACTCTCTCAGCCCGGCCATATCATATTTCATTGTAGGTTTTCCAAGATAAAATTATGGAAGGAACCTATTCTGTTACGGCTACTGCGCATAAAAATATAAAAGAAACCAACCCCAATACTTCTTTCGGTACTACGTGTGGTATACGTTACCTGCAATAAGGTATATATCGTCGTTTAAAGTACAAAACCGCGTATCGTCATTCTGCAAAACCGCGTAACTGACATTGGCTGCCAAAAATTGGATTTGCTCACACAAGCTCTTGGCTCAATCCTTATCCATTCTTTTTTTTGCACTTTAAACGACGATATGCAGACTTGTGATGGCTTGTGCGTGTTACTTACGCATAACCTAAAATTCTCAGCATTCCATAGAGGGGTTCACCTTAAATCAAAATTGCAACCCAAAAGTACATACATATGTACATATCTCGTTTTTCAAAACAAGTAATATTAAAGCAAAAATTACAACCTACTTCAATGCTCATATGGGAATTCAAAAGTTATGCTGTTAACATATCCCAATGAATTTCTAACCTTTCTCATTTTTTTGAAGTCTTTTAAAAAACGCAAGTCTATAGTTTAAAACTCAGTACAAACTTAAATATATAGCATTTAAAAACTTAACCAGCTACCGATGTAAGCCACTTAATGGACTTTCATAAACTTTTAATCCCGGTTTTTTTATAAATGGCACAAGGTAAATCTCCTTTCTGAACGAACAACGCGCCTCTTTTATTTGATTGCAGTTGTCTATCGTTAGGGCGCTAACCCCACAAAGAACATTGAAAACCAACCTAACGATTATAAGAAAACAAAATTAAATATTGCTCTATAAATATTACTGAACAATGGAAAAGTTGTTTTCGTTTCACGGGACGATTATTTTAAAATGTAAATTATTTTCGTCAACGCATAATAATTATATGGGAATTTTATTTGTTGTCGTCTCGCGGGACCTTTATTTCAAGACGGAAATTATTTACGTCTTCTCATAATAATTATATGGAATTTTTATATTTTGTCGTCTCTCGGGCTGTTTATTTCAATACGAATATGATTCATGTCTTCTCCAAATAATTATATGGGACTTTTACCGAATGAAACTTCTTAATTTGGTTCGGAGATTTAAAATAAAAAAATATTTAACTCCAAAAATGTGATGTCAAATTAAAGGGCTTTGCTTTTACGTGGTTTTAGTTTATTGAAAGGGGCTGCCAGATGTTAGAAAATCAAATTCCAATAATCGAACTCGCAGATATTTGCGTTTATTTTGGTGAAATCGGCAGTACATGTACCGATTATATTAAGAGAAAACGTAAATCATTGCCGTCTTGAAATAAACGTCCCGAGAGACGAGAAAAATAAAAATCCCATATAATTATTATGAAAAGGCGTGAATAATCTCCATCTGAAAATAATCATCCCACAATATTTCTCGTAAATAATTATTATACAAAGACGAAAAAAATTCTTTTACAACAAGGCGACGTTTTTGATCTTAAATATTAAGATAATAATTATTTTGTGTCTCTGGTGTAATTATATACATACATGGGATTTACAGGCTCTTGGCTTTTTATGGTGGAAAGTCTCAATTCGTTTACTGAATACTATATAGTTACATATGTACATATTGCACATATAAAATTATATGTATTTACGCACTCGTCAGCTTACAAAAGTTAATTAATTTAGTTAGTTTTTATTTTCATTTAATCAATTGTAAAGATTTCGAAGTTGATTCCGTTGAAAGAAGTGTCGACATCATAAACGGCGAAAGACATTTAGAACTCGTTTCGAAAGGATTTTGCAATTGCTTTTGTGAAATCTCGGATGCTTTGGGGCAAACAATATTGACTTGACGTTCTTGTTTGCGAAATTTGGCGCGTCTGTTTTGGAACCAAACCTGAAATTGAAAAATATGACTGAAGTATTCTTTGATTTTATGTGAATTTGATTGTTTTAACGATAATTATTATAAAGAAATACTTGTGTCAATATAAAAAATAACAACTTCCATGTTGGTAATTTTTTTAATATCTTATTAATGTCGCACATTGTTGCCAAACTGGAATTTTCTGTACAAAATAGTCCAGAAACTTGATCGGTTAAAAAGATCTGCTTAATTTAGAGGCGACTTGACTTGTCGGTCCCGATTTTTGCATTTTTATCTGTTTATATTAAATTTTTTAGAATTTTGAAGAAAATCGATTCCCCTACTCCTGTAAATAAATGTTAAATGATAAAAACCAGTTGAAAACAATTCAAGAGTTTCCCCAAAATGTAAAAAAAATTGAAAAGTAAAAGTTTAGGTTTATGAAAAAATGTTCATCAAAATTGCATTTTTTTCATAATTTCAAAAAATATTTTAGGTATGCAGTTTATACACTTTATGACACTAAAATTTAATGAACATTTTAGTGCCATAAAGTCCAAGTTTCAAGTAAGTGAGAATTGGCGTTGACTTTTAATATTTGTTTTTGCTGAAGTTTCGAGCAAACTGTATGTACCCTTGTGTTCAGCTGATTAGGTTAAGTGACATTTTGACCAGTTGTGGCTATTTGCTTTTATTTATTTAATATTTATAATTTTAATAATTTTTTACCTAATGCCTTTTAATTATTTAGTTTTGTATGGATGCCTAAACAATGATGGTGCTAGGCATTTTCTTTCATATAAAAGAAATTTTCGAGCATAATTTATATGGAAGAAAATGCACAACATCGTCAGCCACAAATATTTTTAAACGAATTTCTGGCGTCTTGAAAATTGCACTTAAACCTGCTGAAATTTACTGGGCTTTAACTAAAATTCTGAATAAAAGTTTAAAATATTTGGGTGCAATTGTTGAAGTTTATTGAACTTTTATAAATTATTTTATTGAATTTAGAGAAAAGTTTGAAATGTTATGCTGGTTTTCTAATGTCGTTCTGGTTATATAGTGTGCTACAATTTTATAAAAAAATGATAAACATTAAATAAACAAAAGAATAAAATTATAGTTTAAAAAACTAGAACCTCCCTATTATAATTGCCATTCGTACTGTCATCAAGTATGTAACTTGAGAATAGAAATCGCTGCATCTTTTAGGCGCATCAATATTACATAGTTACATCCCGAGCTAATAAAAGGAAGGTAAAAAATCTAGAACCTCCCTATTATAATTGCCATTCGTACTGTCATCAAGTATGTAACTTGAGAATAGAAATCGCTGCATCAATATTACATAGTTACATAGTTACATCCCGAGCTAATAAAAGGAAGGTAAAAATAGCCGAAACCGGTCAAAATGTCACTCAACTTGAATCTGCTGACCACAAGTGTATATGGAAGAATATGCCTAGCAGCGTTAGAAAAAAATATATTAAAAATCAACGCGAATTCTTAGTAAAAAAATGCATACCTAATTATTTTTAGTACAGAATTTCGTTTCTGTTTTGGGGGAACTCCGTAATGGTTTCCACTAGTTTTTAATATCTAACAATTATTTACAGGAACAGGAGAATCGAATTTGTATATAAACAAATATGAATTTTGATTAGCACCCATAAAAAAAAAATATTTATAAAATTAGTTGAAAGCTGAAGGCTTTGGTCTATTTTGTACAGCAAAATTTAGTTTGGTGCCATTTGATTCGCCGGGATTATAATAGCCGCCAGCTTGAAAACTTGGTCAACTTTGTTTCATCTCAGGCGATAGTCATTTTTTGGACTCAACCAAGCTATGCCCAAATGCTAGTACCATACGCATTAATATTATTCCAAAAGGATTTCGCTCGGCCTCAGCACAATTCTTTTTCTCGGTGGCTTAAAATTTCCACTTTTTGTTCGAAAATCTAATTTTAAAGTATATTATTTTTTGTGTGAAACTATTTCAAATACATACATAGGATTACATGATCCTTGTCTGAGATGACCTATAATAAAATTTAGCAGAAAATGTTTTCAAAGAAACTTTAAACCCTATAACTCCTCCCAGGATGGGGGTTTTGACCCAGTTTTGGAAATGGCAGTTATAGGGTTAAAATGTTCCATAAAAATTCTATACTTAGGGCCACTGAAAAGGAAAATGCTCTACGAATTAAAAGGGAAGAGTAAATACGTAATGTGATAATGATGGAAAATATTATAATATTTTCCCAAAACAAGGTAGTGAACCTTCCGCAGAATCTGTCTTTCTAAAAATTCAAGAGCATTTGCGTACTCAGACCAAAGTAGCACTTATGGCACAGACCCACGCTCTTTGCTTCTCTATCTAACTCCGAGAAGGCAGAACAGTCGTAGCCAAGCCGAATTTATACAAGTTTGTATTGCTAGAATTCGCCGCGGTCCGTCTGAATGTCAAAATTATGTGTTTGCTGTATTTTTGGGTTACTTCTTGACGTTACTGTCAGAGTCGTTTTGACTGTACTACATACATACATACATATACATATGTATGTATAATAAAAAGGTAATTTTTTACAAAGGTTTTTTCCAAACTCATTTAGTAGCAGAGCATCTAAGATTTCTTTAAAAGATTTTTCTTGTTTATAAAATATTTCTCGTTCTCGAATGCTCTTGATGATAGGCGATACTTCCTTTAGTTACGATTCAGCTTTAGGGCCATTTATTTCCTCAGCCGACTATTGATGTTGATATCGTCGGCATGTGCATCAAATTCTTCTCAAGCATCAAATTAAAGAAATCGGGTTGGCTTATATTTATCTAATTGCATACATACAGTATGGGTTATATCAATAGTACCGTCATTTCATACCGTTCGGGTGAAACCGCACTTTATACTCCTGGCGCAGGTATCAAATATCGTCGTTTTAAATTTCTCTAAACTACCTTTGCATGATATGAAGGAGTGTCTACCCCGATTTCAAACGTTTTCGATAATATGCTGCGTCTGATTTAATTGGACAAAGTTTGGTAGAATCGATAAAGTGGTTAGCGAGATATACCTTTGTAGTCATAAAGCGGGCGGTGCCACGCCCAATTTTTAAAAGTCTATAGCAGTCTTATTTATTGTAATTTTAATGTAAATGTAAATTAGCGTCCTCAGTTATTTAAATATCGGAGTTTTCGTGTGTCTGAAATTTACCGTTATACAGGAAGTGGGTGTAATTTTAGTCCGATTTAAATAATTTTCAAGTAATTGCTTTTCTGTACCAAGGGTGGACCGGGTTTGGTAGAAATTGATAAATCGGTTACCGCGATACACATTTGTGGTCATAAGTGGGCGGCGCTACGCCTATTATCCAAAAATTCATAATAATCTAAATTTCTGGTGAGTGGTTATTGCAATCATCGATTTTTAGTGAATTAGCTTCAGTAGTCACTGATTTATCGCAGTTTTCGTGTTTCTATAAATTACCAGTATATGGGAGGTGGGGGTTAGGCCGATTTTAAAGATTTTCAACAGCTTTCTTAGCTAGGTCCTAGACAAGGCTCGTACCGAGTTTGTTAAGGAAGCAGCTATTGAGATTCAGTATTTCATCATAAGTGGGAGAGATCACGCCCATCTTCCAAAAATTTCATAATAATATTATTTTGTATCAATATTACACTTCGCATACTAATTTTCAACAACGTAGATCCAATATTTACTGTAATATCGTAGTACTTGAATTTTTCGAAAATACCGTTATATTGGAAGTGGGCATAGTTACAGTCCGATTTCGCTCATTTTCAGTACCAACCTACCCTGGATAAAGGTTAACCTACTTACCAAATTTGGTTGGGATATCTCAATTTTCGCTCGAATTATCGCATACACGGACGGACGGACGGGCCGACAGACAATTTTTTAAAATTGGATGAAAATTTTTAGATTTCTTTTTCAGTTTTCTGCAAAGTTTTAAACTTTGAGGTTAGTCATAGAAAGAACTGTATTTTAATTAGAAATTCTTAAAAACTAATAAATAAACATCAGTGGCAAACAATAACACTTTGAAATGGGGGTGCTAATGATATGACCTATACTGTAAGTATGCACAAGCAATTACACAGATATGTGTATAGTTAAGAGAGCTTTATTCTCTTCATCTAAAGAATCAAAGAATCTGGTGTAAAAAAAACCAAAAGTTCGGGTATCCAAAATATTTTCACATAGCTTGTAGATGAACTATTTTTGGGCATAATTACACGCTCATATATACGTTTAGCATGACCAAGCACTTAACTTAATTGAAAACAAAATATTGACTTACACCACCTCTTCTCATTTTTTCACCCTTAAACAATAATTTTATTTACAGTAAACATTTTCTCAATTGTCGGATTAGTTCATCTGCAATACTCCCCTATTTAATTGGCTGTGACTTGCTTTCAGATCTCGGCACGTGACTCCCAATATACATACATATGTACATACACACGTACATATGTATGTACATATATATATATATATATGCACGAACGTGCGTACATACATATATCTGCACTCGTACTTAACGTGCATTTTATAGACGCGACAGCTCGTAAATGAAAATGAGAGATGATTTGTGAGCTTGGAAAAGTGAAAAATGATTCCATCTCATAATTAAAAAACAAAGTAAAATATAACGAAATTCCGTTGGGATTTGAACTTAGACACTTGAAAATATGTATACAAAGCAACAAACACACATACAGATGTTCTCTTTGAACTGCCACTCATAGGCTTAGGCTAGATTAAGGAAACTGTTTGCAAAAAAAAAAAAAAAAAATCTAACAAATTAAGTATTTTTTTTTTGTGAATAAAAGAAGAAATTGTTTTCCAACCTACCTGCACACGCGCTTCAGTAAGCTCTATTTTCATTGCGATCTCCTCGCGTGTATAAATATCAGGATAATGTGTCTCTTGAAAAATTTTTTCCAATTCCTTGAGTTGTTTGGACGTAAATGTCGTTCGAACCCGTCGTTGTTTTTGTTTATCTTTGTAGAATGGGATGGGATTATAGCTACTCGTTGACCATTCTGAAAGAATCAAAACTTTTTAGTGTTCTTTTGATACAAAATATGAATAAATAAATAAATGTCGTTAGTTCAGCAGTTTCTGTCGGTTTCTTGTAAATTGTACATCCTGCGTCAAAATTATAAGCGCACCACATATTAAGAACTTATGACAATTAATTTTTTGTAATTTAGTTTTAGTTTCTTTTATAAAAATACAATTTATTCTTTAATAAAAGCCGTGTGAATCCAAGTTTTACACTTTGGCCAAGACTTAAAAAATTTAAATTTAAATTCTTTGGTTTAATTGCAGTTTTTTATAAAAATATAGTCCATTCTTTAACAAAACCCCTATCACGGCTTAGATAGCGCGTTTTTAAACCACTTGTTGAGATAGGTGTTCATCAACCAAATTCTTAGATAGGGCGTTTTTCAATCAAATTCTGAGATGGGGAGTTTATCAACCAAATTCTGAAGTAAGGCGTTCTTGAGCAATTTTATGAGACTTGCATCTAAATTTGACGCGGGGTATATATGAGCAGGGCGGCGGAAGACGTGGATATGGTGGGTAGTACTACCCACCTGAAATTGTTAAAGGTGGTTAGTTACCCACCTGAAAATTTTCTAGAAGAAAAATAAGTCCAATTGAAAATCCTGTTTTAATCACACCTGAAGAGTATTTTCGGAAGATATATTATGAAATTTTTGACAAAGTTAGTTTCACAAGTAGGTTTGATACCGTTTTATAATAATTACAGGTATTGTCTTCCCAGAGAGTTTTCTTTCACATCGAAATTCATGATCCCTTATTTTCATTTTGATGCAGTTCAATGTTGATTTTTTTACTTTTATTTGCCTTTGCTTTGGTTTCGCTCAATTTAATTTTTATAATTTTTCAAAACAACAATTGTACGCTCTTGTAAAGTATTGTGCCTGAGCGGTTCAATACTGCGGCTCTTATTATCTTCTCCAAAATCAGATTAAAGAAATCACGCGAAAGGGAGTCCCCTAGTCTGAAACCTCGTTTGGTATCAAACGGCTCGGAGAGGTCCTTCTCTACTCTGACGGATCTGGTGGTATTGCTCAACGTAATTTTACACAGCCGTATTAGTTTTGCGGGGATACCAAATTCAGACATCGCGGCTTAAAGACAACTTCTCTTCGTGCTGTCGAAAGCGGCTNCCTATTCTGACGGAGCTGGTGGTATTGCTCAACGTCATTTTACACAGCCGTATTAGTTTCGCGGGGATACCAAATTCAGACATCGCGGCATAAAGGCAACTTCTCTTCGTGCTGTCGAAAGCGGCTTTGAAATCGACAAATAGATGGTGTGTGTCGATCCTAGTCTTTTCCAATATTTGGCGTATTGCGAATACCTGCAATACCTGATCTATGGTGGATTTTCCAGGCCTAAAGCCACACTGATAAGGTCCAATCAGCTCGTTGACGGTGGGCTTCAGTCTTTCGCACAATACGCTCGATAAGACCTTGTAACCTATGCTTAGAATGCTAATTCCGCGGTAGTTGGCGCGTATGGCGGGGTCGCCTTTCTTGTGGATTGGGCAGAGCACACTTAAATTCCAGTCGTCCGGCATGCGTTCATTTGACCATATTCTACATATGAGCTGATGCATGCACCTCATCAGCTCCTCGCCGCCGTACTTGAATAGCTCGGCTGGCAGGCCGTCAGCTCCAGCAGCTTTGTTGTTTTTCAGCCGCGTAATCGCTATTCGTACCTCGTCATAGTCAGGGGTGGGACATCTACTCGATCATCATCGACTGGGGACTCGGATTCGTCTTCGTCAATACTTTCAGCGCTGCTACCATTTAGTAGGCTGTACAAGTTTTCCCTCCACATTTTAAGTACATTCTGGAATCGGTCACTAGGTCGCCATTGTTGTTCTTACAGGAGTTCGCCCCGGTCTTGAAACCTTCCGTAAGTCGCCTAACCCTCTGGTAGAATTTTCGGGCGTTCTTCCTGTCGGCCAGCATCTCAAGCTCTTCGCACGCACGTATTTCGGCCTCTCTCTTCTTATTGCGGCAAATACGTCTCGCTTCCTTCTGTAGTTCCCTATAACGGTCCCAAATGGCTCGCGATGCGCCTGATCACAGCGTTGACCTATAGGCGGCGTCTTTTTTCTTTGCGGATTCTTGACATTCCTCATCGTACCAGTTGTTCATTCGGGCTCGCTGAAATCCAATTACTTCTTCGGCGGCGGTACTTAATGATCGGGAAATGTAGTTCCACTGCTCGCGTATGTCGGATTGTTGAAGAGTGCTCTCAAAGAGCAGGTATGTGAGTCGAGTGGCGAATAAATTGGTCGTCTGTTGTGATTGCAGCTTTTCGACGTTAAACTTTCCTTGCATTGTTGGGCGCACTTTTTTTGCTGCACAGAGGCGGGTGCGTGTCTTGGCTACAACAAGATAGTGGCCCGAGTTGATGTTTGGCCCTCGGAGTGTACGTTTGTACGTCTAAAACGCTTGCAGCATTTCTTCCGTCTATCACAATATGATCGATTTGGTTTCTTGTTGTTCGATCTGAAGACAGCCATGTAGCTTGGTGGATGTTCTTATGCTGGAACCTAGTACTACATATTACCAT